TTACAACCTTTAAGTGGTTTAAATGATGGATCGTGGCCAGTAGTGGAATCCAGAATGTGCGTTTCGTCCTGTCTGGGACTCGTCAGTGGGATGTACCTGACTCCCAGTGAGTGATGTTGTTCTCACCAGGACTCGGACTCAGGAGCGATCGCTTCAAACTCGCGAGTGTTACCCACTAGCAATACAAGCAGTAACACTGAAACTTTACCCGTTACACGAGAAGTGGCTATCGTGGCTCGTTGGTCTAGTGGATGACGCTCTCGCGTTCGAAGCCATCGCTCCCGAGTCCGAGTCCCGGTGGGAACAACATCATTCACTGGGAGCCTGCAGATACATCCAGCTGACGAGTCCCAAATAGGACGAAATGCGCATTATGGATTCCATTACTAGCCACGATCCATCATTAATATAATTAGAATGCAGGCAATATCGAGGCATAAGCCCAGGAGCCCATATGCCAACAAAGACTGATCGATTCGGTCCAATCAGCGACGGTGTAATTCAAGCAATAACACTAAGTAGTTTGTTTTCAAAGTTGTTCTCAGTGAAAAAGTGAAATTCATATTTTCATTCTCCACCAGCATTCAAGTGTATATTATCTATAATTCAGCAAGGTGACATTTGTTATGCACAATTACTCAGTTGGGCAGTTGTCAGAATGGTATTTGCGTACATTTTTGATCCACGACGGATTAATTATGCCAAATGATCCGATTTCTAGCTCTGATTAAGTGGTTTTATTTAATCCTAGTAGGATTTATGTTACTACGAAGCTTCGTAAACTACGTTTTACTATTAGATCTTTACTGAGCATCAGAAACATCCCAACTTACGAATTGTCCTAATATTTAGCGATGATACTAGTCTAGTCTTAAGTCGTTCAAAATCCAAACTGGCAAACAAAAATTAGATACTTCGACTTGGCGGTTTATCGGGATTTATTGACTTCAAAATGATATTCATCATGTACTGGCATCGGAAACCCGGAAACCAAGAATTAGAAAAATGTGGACGATTGGATTTTGACCCGGCGGCTCAATGCTAAAGTGCTGGCCACGGAACCTGAAGGTCCTGGGTTTAACCTATAATGGGGCCGTGGATACGCACTTATGAGGAGTCCCATACTAAGACGAACTAACTGACTAGTGCCCCAGGTTCCCAATGTCCCTTGAACTGATATCAGTCCAACAAGGTGATAGATTATGGTTAACTTGGACGTAGCCAGTCTCTACAAGTATGCATAACTTAATATAGCTTTACCGACAGTCAAGAATGAGCTGAGCTCTGACCAAGGACTCACAGTTAGGATCCAAAATGCCAAATGAATAAATCATAATTTGAGTAAGCTTTAGCCTGACTTCTACCTTATTCAAGTTTCAAGCAAAAATATACACAAAAACCAAAGGAACTACTATGCGAACACCAATATCATCCAATGAGGCAAATATATTTATGGACAGTTGGGAATAAACAGTTCTCAAGAGAGTTTTCCTTGCATACAACTATTGTGCTGAAGTCAAAGCATACTCATAAATTTATGACAAACAAATTCAGGTGTACATGCAATCTAGTTTACTCATGTATTAGACATTGGCGAAGAAGACACAACTATTCTGAATTTCATAACAAAAAGGAAATAAGATGAGTACTTAGACAGTAGTATGTATAGGAAACCTACTCATTTGGTTCATATTCTAAGTGAAATAAAGTTAGTAATTAAGTAGTTATCATTTCCTGACACCTTAGTAGGGACTTATCTTCTACCAATTGCCTAACTGTACTGTATAGTGATTATATCTTACAGCCTATCATCGATTTACAAAGGATGGAAAAGAAATATACACTTCTACAAATATTCAGCCTTTGGTATTTGTCTCATGCAAGCACATTTGTAAGCTTTAAGACTGAGTATATGTTTCTTTCTGAATCAAGAACATACATCAACTTTTGCGTCATCTTACCTTTGTATACTCATGTATTTTGAAATATTTTCTGAACAAGTGTCACTTGCATACTTTGATAACTTCTTTAATATCGAAAGAAATCATGTCGCAAAACATTTCAACAAGACTCTACATGAATTATAATACTCTTACTCATCATTTGAATTGCAAAATTTAAGAGTTCTAGATATCACCTTAACACGTGAAGCTATCTAAATAAATCAAACCTCTATCATGAGCGAAAATTTTGTAAACCGGAATAGCTGTTAACACTGACCAGAAATTCTTATTGATGAACTCTGCACAACCTTTTACATTTTGTTTTCATATATCTTATAAATAACATTATACCCATCTTATATTACCTTGTGTATTTTAAGGTTAATGAACGTAGAAGCTAAGAACTGAACAGAACTTATGGAAAAGGTGTATCTCAAGGTCATTGAAGGCGTTATTATTATTATTTATCATTTGTCCCTTGGAATCTAAGTAGAACATACAGGTTCAGTAGCACGTCTCCATTCCACTCTATTCTCTGCAGTCTTTTCAACCTGGCTCCACGACTGTCCACAACGTCTCATTTCCTCCTCCCACGATATCTATGTCACCTTCACCTCGGATGCCCAACTCGTCGCTTCCCATCAGTGTTCCACTCAAGCGAATGGCCTGACGCGTTATGTCCCCAATCGGCCTCCTCAGTGTACGCCCAGTCCAATCCATCTCCACTTTCATCCTCTTCTGCATGTTTGTTGAGTGATAGGTTATTGCCCCGTTGGTTCATTGCCAGCCAGCCAGAGTTCCTTGTTGCTTAATCTTATTATTCTGGCCATCTGATCTTCAGTAACGAGCCAGCGTAAGCAGCTGTTGATGGATGTCTGTAGTTTGTTGGAAGTGCCTTTCGTAACGCACCAAGTCTCTTAAACATACAGGAGCACCTACTTGACTGAATTGGTGTTGAAAATTCGGGTCTTGTTCACGCTTTATAATGAGTGCAGTAGATCTCCACACTGGTTTCAGATTAATGAATGCCTGTCTTGCTGTCTTTTCGATCCTGACTGGCTTTGACGTTCTTGTGTGTGCCGCTTGTAGTTGAAACAATGCTGCCTAGATAGGTGAAAGGGACAACTTCATTTAGATTTCTCCCGTTGATGGTGATTCATGCTTCTTGTTGTTGGTGGTGGTGTTGGTGGCTTTGCTTGGGTATCTTCATCACCTCCGTCTCTGTCTTCTCTATATTCACTTGAAGTCCCATCTTCCTTCACTGCCTCACCTCGCATCGCCTCGCCTCTTCTGTCAACCTGTTGGTTTTGCCTGTAGGTCTTCGGGTTTGTGCGATATTAAACACTAGACATAAATCATCGGCTAAATCTAAATATTCTATTTTCTTTTCTCCGGTCCAGCTAGCGTATCACCCTCTTCTCGCTCCTCACCGTTTGTTGCATGATCCAGTTGACCACAATCAGGAAGGTGATGGGTGGTAGTGGACAGCCTTGTCTTACTTCTTCCTGTCTTCACTTCAAAGGCATCAGTGAGCTTCGCGTTGTGAATTACTTGGCTGGCATGTGGTGTCTTCATATAGTTGTTGAATGAGATTGATACAGATTTGTGGTATTCCGTGGTGTTGAAGCAACTGCCTGGTGAATTACTTGTGGGTCGACGCTGTCAAAGGCCTTTTCAAAGTGGATGAAGTTGAGGTTGAGGTTGAGGTAGAGAGAGAGAGAGAGAGAGAGAGAGAGTTGACTGGCATTTTATGCTGTGTTGTTTGGTGATGCGTAGCGTTTCAATGTGATGCGCTCATGAATTGTACTTCCTGAAGCTAGCCAGCTAACCAGCTAGCCAGCCAGCCAGTCATGCTGTTTTGGTCGAAATTCGGAATCCAGCGCATCCATTGGTCACTCCAGCATGATGCGGCCTAAGGTTTTGCTTGGGGTGGACAGGAGCGTGATTCCACACTAGTATGCAGCTAATGTTTACTAACGTGATGATCTCATTCATTAATTTCACATACATACAATTACATATTTATATAGAGTAACCCAAGTAACTAGTCTACAAACTTAAGTATGAATTCAGTTCCTGATAAGTTGTCGTAATTTAGTGACAATGAACAATTAAATGGCCACTATATCTACAGTTTTATACCCATGTAGATATGCAAATATAATCCAGCGGTACAATTAATTCTGATAATGTCTTTCCATGATGAAGTGTTCTTTGGAAATCATTCCCATGTTCTAAAAAATAAGCTGAAAGAGTACTCTTCTCCTAGCGCCTTTAACTCAGATTGGACTGACAACAGTTGGAGGAACATTAGAAACATGGGAGCACTGGACAGGCAGTTTTGACCTAGTGTGGGACTCTTCAGCAGTACGCACCTGCGATACCGCTAGGGATCGAACCCACAGCCTTCAGGTTCCCTGGTCCCCACCCACTCTACCACTGGGCCACTGGGTCGGAATCCAATGGTCCATATTTCCATTTTCTGTCAGTTCACGATATAGCGCGACCTCCAAATTCAGTTGGACAGGTGCTCATTGGTGACTAGCTTCAAGCGGGGATTCCTGAAGTTCCAATGAGAAGTCGTGACCAGTGGGACAAAGCTGCTGACCATGAGGACAAATACTCAACGATGACATTGTGTGATGTTCGCACTATGTCGTCAACTCACAGAAGTTGGAAATATGGAGCACTGGATTTTGACAAAGTGACTCAGTTGTTAGGTGCCGAGTTCGTGGGTGCACACTGATGCAGAGTCCCATTCTAGGATGAAAAAGTTGTCCAGTGCTCTCACATTTTCAATATTCTTCCGAAAGATGTCAGTCTATGATGAGAACCAACTTAGAAAATCTATAACTCCCCACAAGCCCCAAAATTCAATCTAAACTATCCATCTTGAGATCAGGCAGAATTTCCGCTCTAAACTTTACAATTTATTCACTCAAACATATGCAAGATTGTTGGGATAAACATTGATAGATTGTTGGATTTCCATGTTATATCTGGCTAAAATACATCAATATGTTAATATTGATGGTAATAAACTAATATCTCCCTTGTGAAACTTATTTATTAGAAATGAACTGATTACGTAATCAAGAGTTTATTCTTGTTTAATGAAATCACTTATTATGAAAAAAGAGTTAAAAGTCTCTTTCATATAATCCTTGAATTCAACATCAATAAAAATGTTATTTAAAGTTAAATAAACTGAAATTATAACAATATATGTGTAAAGTAAATCTAATCAAGTTGAACTAGTTGAATTGTTACTGTCACCACCTTCATTGATCACTTGTATAATCCAATCTTTAAAGTATGAAACTCTTGTAAATAATCCTGGATAAAGTTCTGGAGAAGTTGCATGTGTAGCAGAAGCTACACCAACCAAATAATTTTTATTATCTTTTTTGTAAATTAAACCACTTCCACTATCACCCTGAAAAAAAGAAATTTTTTTGAAAAATTATTAATCCAGTACTGGCTACCGATAAGAATAACGGAACAGTAAATTTTGGATGACACAATTAGATTTCCTCAGGAATTTTCTATATCACAATAATTGATCAAGAGAGGGGGGCCGCGGAAGAGACAGCGACTAGTATATTTTCGTTTTACACTAAATTTCTTTCTTGTCATGTACTAGAATAATTGATAGTACAAACATATATCATAGCACCCAAATAAAAGGTTACCAACAAGTCCAAGAAATGTATTCTAACTTACCGAGGAGAACAGGTCTCTTCACCAGTTACTCGTTCTTTCCTTACACAGCAAATATAAATTAAGGTAATTTAGTTGACTGTGGCTAGCAGAGGAATCCAAAACGCGCGATTCGTCCTATCTGTAGCTCGTCAGCTGGATGTACCTACACCTGATTGAAGAGTGACATTGTCCCCAATAAGACTCGAACCTTGTAGACATCGCTTCAAACGCCAAGACAACATCCACTATGCCACGGAGGAACGTTAGCCACCTCTTGTACAACGGGTAGTAGTTATTACTATTTACTGATATAATTGAAATTCTTCGCTGTTTCATTGAATCGAATTGTTCAACCTGAGCGTCCTGGATTCCTCTGTTAGCCACAACTAACTAAATTACCATAATTGACATTCAGATAATATTGAGGTGTCCGCATAGGAGCCCATATGCCAATAGAGGTCGAACAATTCGATCCAACGGAGAATAACAAGTATGTCAATAAATAGTAACAGCAAATATAAATGATTTTTATTAGTACTTTTAAGACGTGGCTGTCGAGCCTCAGTGGCCTAGTGGATAACACTGTGGCACTTGAAGCGATGGCTACCGGGGTCGAATAACATAACTATAGGGTTTAGGTACATTCAGCTGACAAATCTCAAGTAGGAAGAAAGACACTTCCTAAACCCCACTGCTAGCCACTAAACTAAACTACAAAAAGTGGCTATCGCGGCTTGATGGTGTAGTGGGTAACGCTCTCGCGTTTGAAGCGATAACTTTCGAGTCCGAATCCCGGAGGAGACAACATCACTCACTGGGGGTTAGGCACATCCAACTGACGTGTCGCAGACAGGACAAAATACGCGTCCTGGATTCCACTGCTAGCCACCCCCATCACCACTATCGTATAAGATGACTCAGAAAACAGAAGTTTTGTTTTCAAAAGCTTTAATTCCATATTTATAGTTACAAAGAGAAGATATTTCCACCAATGGTTAATTGGTCAACAGAAGTTCATGGGACATTGTTTCCAGGATTAAAAGGTAATGTAACAATGAAGACGGCTTCATTATTTCGATCTTCAACATCTTTCCTCCCTAAAATGAACCATACCACATAAAGACGTGACTTTCACTAGTAGACCAAACTGATAATCTTTTCTCTAATTCAGTTCAATTTGTATTGATATGAGAAACTGTGGCAGGGTAAACAGTGTCCATATGATGAGGGGAAAGTAACTCATTACGAATTCATATGAGAGTCAGACGAAACCCTTGGTAACTGAAGTGAAATTAAGATATAAGCAGCAACTAGATTTTGTAGTTCAGTTTGCAGAACAATGGATTGACAACCCAAAGGCCTCCGTCTCGAAACCCTGCAGTGATGTAGATTTTTCTTCCACCTTCACATTAAAAGTACCAACACTCAATCACTCTATAATATACTCTTATTTAATATTGTGCATATTATCTATACACTTAACAGAGGTCCTAACTGAAAATCTGGTCATAATGAACCATATGTCGACCAGAAATCATTGTAAGCAGTGTCTTGATATTCATTCTAATAATTTTTGAATTGGATCATTGAAACTAAATTTCCACTGAAGCGGAAGTGTAACAAAGCGTAGCGTTATCTTTACTAGATTCAAAATGTCTATTTCTCATTGAAACTGAGGTGATTCTTACCCATTTTGACTGTTTTCTGACAAGGAAATCCATTCAGGTATGGTATACAAAATCAAATGAAATTCTGCAATCTGTATCGTTTCCATTAATATTATTATTGTGCACGTGTTATTATTAAATTAGAAAACTAGTTGCTTTAGATATAGAATAGATACTGTGCATCAGAATTCTCTTAGACTATAAAGTATGTTTCAAGTGTGACAAAGTTGATAAGAAAATGAAAAACAAGCGGTTCAGTGAACAGACTCTTTTTAGCGTTTTCATTCACTTAAGCTATACAATCATATTAACTTACAATTTTTTAGTGAGAACGCACAGTTTGACTGATGCATGAAATTATTTCTTTAAGCATGAAAAAAAGAATAGTAATTCTGGTAGTCAACTAACAACAATTCCCAAAGCATAGGTTTCATACCTGTTGGCATTCATCAAGAAGGTGAATCTACAACCAAACAAGATCCAAGGCTTCCTGCTGATTAACCTTCACCATGTAACAGCAAAATACAGTTCACCGCAGTTTCATACCCTTTTGCTGAATGGTCACACTGAGAAATTTGATCGACAGATTTCGATCAGTGCGAAGCAATAAGTTATAGATAGCTAAGTTGGTCACCCACTTGTTTAAAAAGTAGAAAAAATAGTCCTAGAAAGTTGCATTTATGATAAAAATCTGCTAATTTCGAGTAGTTTTCGACATTTTTAGGCTTCACTGTGCAAACCAAACCCAACAGGTACAACTAATGTCTTCAGTGTAATTGTTTTTATATCGTACCGTCGTTGATTGGGAACAACATCACTCACTGGGAGCCGGCAGGTACGTCCAGCCGACAAGTTCCAAATAGGACGAAATGCACATCCTGGATTCCACTGCTAGCCACTATCCATCATTACTACGGACTAATATCATCTCTACTAGAAAGCTATGGGGTGTTAGTATAACCTAATGTATGCGTTTATCTTTGTTCGACCATTCCAGATGTTGAAGAAACACTTCAGCTGTCCAGTGTTAGATAACACAGCTTTGCACAAAAGTTATTGAATATTTTGACATTATCCGTCATTCCATTTTTTCTGAATACCCACTGTCTTATTCTGCAGAAGAATTCTTGTGGGTTATGTTTTGATGATATTGTCAATATCCCACCTTAAATTTTTGGTGAACAGTCCTCTCTACTTAAAACTCGATACCAATGCTTTCCCTTGCCCGAGTTATCTTCTGATGATTATGTCACATATGTTGGTAAAATGAATCGTGAGTGTGAACGATTCAAAGCAAACGAACTAACTCCTGACCAATTTAAATGTTTGGTTTTTATTTATGGTTTGAAGAACGCTAAAGATGCGGATATCCGAACTAGACCTCTGTCACGTGTCGAATAACTTCTCTAAATGACACTGTAGATGATGACAGCAGATTATCAACACCTAATCCATTTGAAATATGACTCAGTTATGATACGTCATGAGTCGCAGGCATCTGATTTGAGCCCACTAAATGCAGTGAAAACCCCTCAGTCAACAACCAAGCGCACAAAACATAAATCACAACCCTAAGGTAAATTTCCTTCATGTTGCTGGCATTGTGGTTCATGGCATTTTGTTAAATTCTGTCCTTTCAAAAAGCAAAAATGCTGGTGGTGTTGCCGTTTTGGGCACTAAGAGGGTTAGTGTCCCCCAAATAAAAATGCTCCCATGAAGACTGAACGTCCGTTTGTCAAACCCAGCTCATTAAGTCAAATTCAAGGCATTTTCACGACTTTCAAGGCTGATTTCCGGAACAAAATGTTCAACCTATCCGTCTGTAGATGGATATCACTTTGATTCCTCACAGCACATGGTGCACACTAAGGCGCCCACAGATCCAGACAACTATAAATGCTTCTAGAGATATACTAGTGAAATTAGTTGCTATATTCAGTTTGGTGATCATGAGTCTTATGATGTATGTTACCTAACAAATCTTTATGACTTAGACGTACCTGGGGTGGAGTGAATTCATAAACTCGATATCTTGAATGTTCCATTGAATTCAATATATTCTCATATAACGTAACCATCTCATGATGACGTTTCGTCCCGTATGTCTGATAAATCTCAGTCGGGAGACTCGATTCAGAAGCGTGCATCATTCTCTGTTGCAGATGATGTATTAAAGTTAAAGAAGGAAGGAATAGAGGAGGAAGTTTTGAATAATGTTTTTCTGTCTCAGCTTGAGAAAACAAATCCTTCAGCCTGAGTCAGTTATTGTCAGCAAAAGACCAAAGCTGTTCCAAGTGGACCCCAAAATAAAGTCATACACTTTACCGGGGGGGAGGTGATAGGAAGTGGCCAAATATGGGAGTCAACGTTCAAGGTCATTAGCCGTTGGGACAGAAGTATTTTTGTTTCAGATTGTGATTTATTTTTATATATGGACAAAATGACTTCATTGGACTATTCAGTAGCCAATAAGATTGTGACAAAGAACATTTTTTTATCTGTATGGGAATTGTATATATATGTTATGGTTTATCAAACAAAGTTATTGTCATCCTTGCTGTCACAAGTCAGCCTTTGTCTTTTGATATTTCCCGGGACTCAGTGAAGAATACTGTGCTGATGGGGAATAGTGATATTGTCATACAGTTCTAGTGTATCATTGGGTTCAGTATCATTATTACCAGCGTCTTATTCCATTGGGTCACTTCAGTAGTTAGTTAACTACTATCAAACCATTTATTGTCATTCTCTCATTATTAATTGTCAGTTTATTATCAAGATGGTTATATTATTTGATGGGTTAGGTGATGCAACTAAACAAGATCAGTTTTTGTCTAAGACTGCTTAAATACCGGTGACTGGAAACTAGCACATATTCAGGATTAGCAAACTGCACTTATCCACAACGAAATAGAATTTAGTATTCTTACTGAAAAGTATTTTATATTTCATGTGATATGTAACTCACTTGTAATGAGTATTCTTGCCTTTAAAATGAACTGAGTTAAATCACATTTTGAATAATGGTATTTCAAAAACTTACCGAGCAAATGCCAACACGACCTTGATAATAACCAGCACAGAATTCATGTTCATCATTTAAACCTGCCGCATAACCATACATCAGTGAACAGTCTCGATTTTTAAGTGTAGTAAAATGAACCACTTGAGCTTCTGCTGATGGTTTCCCATACTTCACACGACAACCCCAGCCAACAAATATGCATTCAGCTTGCTCAGGTGGCCAAGGTAGGTAATCTTCACCAGGTGGTAAATCAGCAATTTGAACTCCAGGATCTTCCTTTGGTAATGGTGCATCCAACTCCAGTATGGCAAGATCGTATTCTAAATCATCTGGAAGGGTGCATGGGAGAAAAGTAGCTGTTACTAGTAACCGACTTTGATTTATGTTTTAAAGGATAAAATAGTTGTAATCTAGATAGTAAACAAGAGATATTTTGATCAATCATGATAATTATTTTAGCCATTTAAAGTAACTGGATGCAAACAGTCTTATTTGTAGAGATATTTAAGGTACAGTTTTCAAATTTGACTAAACATTAAACACTTGAAGACATTCATCAGAGAAATAAGTTTTGAACGTCCTGAAAAAGTAAACAGGTAAATTTACGACTAATAATACTTCAAGGAAACAGCTTCGATGGAATAAATAAACATCAAATATGTACCTAGTCTATTTAGTGCTTTTCTCTTATTAAACGATCTATCCATTTCAATATGAATGTATCATTTCAAATGAATGTGCTTCAATCATGATATAAATATGGTGAACTGAGAGAAGTAAGAAGTAGCAAACTTTTGCACTCCATCCCTATGACTGAATGGCGATATGTTCACCCCTATGGGTGATGTTTCTGGGCTTAATTGCAAGAGGGTTCATAAGTGTTCACACCTTAAGAGTTATACTTACGGAAAATAGCTCTGTGCTGCTCCCAAGGTTTTAGTGACATTCCAGTTTATGTGTATCCATGATGAGAACTATTTTCAAATATATAGTAAAATTAGTATTTGTAATACCGAATCAAAATATATAACTTTATATTATGTTGCTATCTAGTGATATACGAGCAATTCTCCATTGTCTTATTGGATCGAAGTGTTCGACCTACATTGGGATGTGGATTCCTATGCGCACGCCTCGATATCCCTTGGGTTGTGACTAGCAGAGGAATCCTCAACACGAGTATCGTCCTATTTGAGACTCGCCACATGATGGTACCCATTTACAACAGATGGCTATTCTGCCTCACTGACCTAATAGATAACTGTCTGACAATTAAAGTGATGCGTAAGAGGTTCCAGTCTCATTGGGAAAAACATGACTTACTGAGGAGCAGATACATCAAGCTGATGAGCCACAAATAGGAAGAAATGAACGTAATCGATTCAAGTAAAATCATCACCATGTACATTATGTTGCTATGAATTTAACAATAGTTTGCATATTACTACTGTTTCATGCTTGATACTTAAATTACTCCTGTAAACTCACAATTGTTAATGATGATCATTCTCTGGAGAATAGTGATCTAATCATTACATTCAAATTCTACCATATTAAGCATATCCAGTAGAACTACTCTCCACTCAACTTCTGCTTATTGCAGTACACAACAGTTATTAAATAATGGCTCTTATTCATAAACTTAAACGATTACTGTTTCGCTTGCCTAAACTACCAACCAATTCAATGACTTCCACCTGAATGCTTCATCAACACTCGAAAACCAAGGATTCTTGGAAAGGGGTACAGTGTCGTACAGTTAAGTTGATAAGGCTTAGTTCACCACTCCTCTACACACCTTTCCCTTCAATAAACCCATTTCGAAAACCAAAACACATGATGTCCTCACAGATCACTTTGTGATTGGTGCACACTAGATGACAATTGCTAGTTCATTTCAAAATCATGGAATAATTTATCTTTAAAACTGGAAGGAGGAGAGACTTTCTCTGAGTAGTTCAACACTTCACTTGATAAAGACTTTAACTACATGTCCACAGTCATTATGACTACAAGCTAAGTTAACACCTCCAACTGTAAAAATGATTACTTGTCGAACACAATTCATCGTCCATAGTCACGTCAAGATAACTATACAACTTTGAGACTTCCTTAACATAATTCACATTCACTTGCCTCCCTTATGATATGGGTGGAAGGATTTTCCATGCATACTGAACAGGTGTTGACTCACTCCTGATGCATGTACTGGGTGTTGATTCAATAAACAAAGATTCAGTTATCAATCTCTCCCACTACCCGGTCATGTTAGTCTCAGTGGTTCTCACCCTATCCCATCCAATTGTGTGGTTGTGTGTAAACGCATGCATAGCTATAGCTGCGCTTTCTTCTAAATTCATCACCTTGCATGGTAATTTAATTGACTCTGGTCGACCACTTTGACCTGTGTGTTCGATCTCACAATCATTGCAAGGTATTTGGTAAACTAAGTTATTCTGCTTAATTGGGTCAACAGGATCTCTTAATCTACAAAACTTATTTCGAAGTGAGTTTCTAGGTTGAAATGTGACTCTAATCTCAACTAGCCTCATTGAGAATCCTACGCAGTGTTTGTGAGGTGTTTTCTTGGCATGATAATACTGTAGATGTGTTGAATTCTCTCCTCACAATATTCTCACTACCATCATTGCCGTCAGCATTACTACTGTTAACATCTGTGTTACTAATATCCCCTTCATTTTTCTTACCATTCCTAAGGAGCTTATCAGTTAATTTGGGAGGGTACCTGTTGATGATTGAGGCGTCTTCAATGCATCTGGTTTCTTGTCTCAGGTCCTCTGTTTTACTAGTAATTTTTCTGACACTGTTACTCAGACATTTCACTAAGCCAACTTCAACTTATATATGGTGAGACGATTTGAAGTCTAATAAACTGTTTGAATGTGAATGTTTTCTGTAGACACTGGTGTGTAAACTTCCATCTTGTTTTCGTTTTATTCTGCAATCCAACATCACTCATTCTCCTTCACTACTTTCTAATTCATAGGTGAATTGGATTGTGTTTTGTATATAAGGATGTCTTAAAGTTGTGTTGTTATCTTGATATGACCACGGTCAGTAAATTATGTCGAAGACGTAAACCATCAGTGAATACTGTTTCACTATTTGATACTTCAAATAAATCAGTAAAAATGGAATTATATTCTACCAAGGTTCTCAAGTTTTACTTGAATATAAAAATGATTCTTTAATCTGTAGAGGCTTGAAGATGTAATCTGCATAATCTCTATCTCACTGAGAAGTGCACAAAAAATTTCATACTTTTAGCAAATACCGTATCAGTACAAGCTTATACATACGTGGACTATGAATGCAAGAACCGGTTTGATATCACTTAGAGCCCCTATTTCCTGATGGTCAACATGAACACTTAAGCTGAACTATAATGAGGTTCTAACAAGAATCAAGTTTTTATAACTACCAGAAAAATGAATTTATTCTAGTGCTTACCTGGTCTATAATTTGGATGCAATATGATTTTTTTCAAGTGCGTATGCCAAACAGCTCCCTGTTTTCCTGATCCACTTACACCAAATAAAAAATTATTTTAAATTTATATTTATTTACATTGTATTATCATACCAATATACACATTATATTATTATATTATATATTATACATATGTATATAGCATATATATATATATAGTAATATATGTTCATTTATATTAATTAAATTGATTGTTGGTTAGTTAACAACAGTTGAAATTAGGCTGAATAGCAGTTAGACATATGACGGAAACAACTTTTTTCATTCATGGCTTATTATTTATTATTATTATTTGTCCCTTGGGTTCCTACTGGAACAAAGGACTTCAGTAGCGAATAACCACTTCACTCTCTTTTCTATAGTCCTCCTAACCTGGCTTCACGACTGCCCACAAGCTTTCATTTCTTTCGCACACCATCTCCTCCATGTCACCCTCGCCTCAGACGCCCAACTCGATGTTTTCCATTTGGCTTCCACTTGAGGGCCTGGTCTGGCCTGACGCGTGATGTCTCCAGACAATCTTCTCACTATATGTCCAATCCAATCCAGTCGATCTCTACTGCCTTCTTCTACTGCAAATCTGTTGGGTGATAGGTTTTCGCCTCATTGGTTCCTTCCCAGAGTTCCTCCTTGCTTATTCCTATTATTCTGGCCATCTGATCTCCATCTTCAGTGTCACTATCAAGAGTCCGTAGGCAGCAGCTGTTGATAAATGTCTGTAGTTTGTTGAAAGTGCTTTTCGCAACACGCCAATTCTCTCAACTATCACACAGAAGCACTGACTTGACTGACACTATTGCTGAAAATCCGAATCTTGTTCTTTGTGCTGAGTGCAGTAGTTCTGCATACTGATTTCAGGTTAATGAAGACTTGTCTTGCTTTTTTGACCCTGGATTAAAATCTTCATCTACGCCTGTACCACCTATAGCTGAGAAGATGCTGCCTAGGTAGTTAGGTGAAAGGGACTGCTTTTTTAAGCTTCTCCCGTTCATGGTTACTGGTGCTTGGAGTAGTTGTCGGCGTTGTTTTTGTTAGATAGGTATCTTCATCACCTCTGTCTTCTCTACGTTCACCTGAAGGAAGAGTCGTCTTCTTTCGTTGCCTCCTCTTGCCTCTTCTTCATACTTGTTGATTTTCACCTGTAGATCCCCGAGTTTGTGCGATGTTTGACGTAGATCACCATCGGTGAAATCCAAATCTTCCAGGGTCTTCTCATCGGTCGAAAAGCATGTGCCCATCTTCTCGCTTCTCACAGTTTGTTGTATAATCCAGTCCACCACAATCAGGAAGATCATAGGTGATAGTATGCAACCTTATTTTACTCTTATCTTCACCTCAAAGGCATCACTGAGCTGAGCTTTCCATTGTGAATCACCTCACATGTCACACCATTATATAGCATATGGCTTTTGAATGAGGTTGATAAAGGTTTGTGGTACTCCGCAGTGTTGAAGTAGAAGCTGCCAAATTACTTGTCAGTGACGCTGTTGAAGGCCTTTTCAAAATCGATGAAGTTGAGGTAAAGATCCAGTTGACTGGCATTCCATACTCTGTTCTATGATTTTGCGTAGCGTAGCGTTGCAATCTGATGCGCATATGATTTGTACTTCCTGAAGCCAGTCAGCCAGCCTGTTCTGGTCGAAATTTAGAATCCAGAGCATTTTCAGCCACTCCAGGATGATGCAGCTTAATATTTTGCTTGGGGTGGACAGGAGCATATTCACTGCTTAGGCATCTATAAATATTTTCTACAGATTTTGATACATAACCAGTTTACTGCGACTCTACTAAGTTGTTTATCTGATTTGCGTTGATTACTAACGTCTTCAGTCTGTACATGGGAGGTAATTAACCGATTTTCATTATCAGACTAGAAATGTGCACTTTAGTTTATACTAATAAGACTTTCTCTCTTGATTTATTATTCGTTATGTAACTTAATGTAAGTGGGAAATTTACTACTATGTAAACATTACATTTAATAAAATTATACGGCAGATGTTTTAGGAATTCCAGGTCAAATATATCTCCTACAACCTTCAGTGAGAGTAATATAATCGTGAATTATCTTTCAAAGGTCTCGTGGAAATTTTCCACTACAACCTATAAAAGATGAGTATCTAGCAAACAAGATAAAACTTGTAAAGATTTTCATCCAGTTGTAAATTATGAGTTTCTAATTATTTCTTAGGTTTCACAGGAACCAAGTTTCACCTAGACCGTAGATAGTTGTAATATAAAACGTCAGAAAGTTGTTCAAAACTTGTTAGATCATGGCACTTATCTTTTTTTAAAAAGTCTGTCACAAGTGGAGATCTTGCACTTCCTTAAGGAATTGTTACAAGCTAAGTATATACAGGATGGAAGATACATGATACATCTCATCTGCAGTGAGCTGACAGTACAACGAAATGCTCGGTTTAGCATTGTTCACAAGGAATATCTATTAAATAAACAGGTCAGTCGCGGCCGCAATAGTTCAGTGGTGTAACGTGGCTGGCAACAATATTGATTGATATGGGTTCCGATATCGAGTGAGACATCACTTCATCTAAGTTGCAGACGCACCTGCCCAACATATTCCAACAAACATGAAAACTAGGTCCAAGGCTTCCTGTCGATTGTCTCCAACCAACTGACAGACTGACTAAGAGGATATGTGTAGGCATTCAATTAATTTGAACACAACTCTAGATTAAAATGATTTCCACGAAGACGACATATTCTTGCAGATCAGAATATGGACTTTTAGACTTGTTTTACTATCCTAGTATGGGACTCCGGCAGTACGCACCAACGACCTTGTGAGGCATCGAACCCAAGACCTTCGGGTCCCAAGGTCCTCATTTTGCCACTGGGTCGGGATCCAGTGGCCGACATTCTTCTACTTTTAGATCTCCAGGTTTCTAATACTCCTCAACCCATGATGAAGACCGAATTTAAACCAATAAATCTCCACAAACCTGCTAAGTGAATTAACCTAGTGCTTTTTGGTAACTAGCTTTGAAAGGTAATTCCTGATATTCCAATGAAAAATCATGACCGTTGGGACAAACCTGGTGGACATGAAGACAAATACTCCACGATGAAATTGGGTGATGGTTGCGCTATATCATGAACTGATAGAAGCTAGAAATATGGACCACTAAATTTGACCCAATGGCTCATCTTTTTATCCTATCCAAAATTTTTCACTAAAGAAGGTTCTAGTGTTATGCTAGATAGGCATCGACACAAACGTAAATTTGCATAAATGTTTACCAACAAGAAAAATCTAAGTGCACTATGGAACCTACAGTTACTTATCACTGAGTGTACATGAGAGTACTCACTTATGTGAATGACATACTGATTGAGAAATAAGAAGAAAACGGTCAAGAAATAAAAGTAAACCTGAGCGAAATCAGTTTATTCAAAACCTGTAAAGATACCATTGCAAGGATAAGCCTAATTTCTGATTTTTTTTCTCAGAATGACTGAAATTCTTCAGTTCAATTAATTTGCAACCCCTTTGTATATCTATTTGAATTCCATTATGCCTGCGAAACTCCTATTGTAAAATAAAATAATTAAATTTGGTTAGTTGTGGCTGGCAGACAAATCCAGGATGTACGTTTCGTCCTGTTTGGGACTCATCAGATGGATGTATCTACACCGCAGTGAAGAGTGAACTTGTTCCCACTAAGATTCAAACCTCGTACTCATCGCTTCAAACACCAGGGGGTTATCCACCATGCCATGGAGTCACGATAGCCACTTCTTGAGACTAACCAAATTATCATAATTAACATTCAGGCAATATCAAGGCATCTGCATAGGAGCCCATATGGGAATAGAGGTCGAACTATTCGATCCAATAAAACAATGAAGAATTACAAGTATACCAATAATTAGTAGTAAGATTATTAAAGTCTATAATTTTAAAAATCATTAGCAAGCTGAACAGTGAGAATGCAAAACTATTTCTAAGGATATTTTGGACACTCACTTCCAGGGGTTATTCTGTAAGCAACCGCTTACTTGATATAGGCAATCTCCCAAAATGAAAGATACTCCTGTTAAAAAATTTCAGTTTTCTCTAAACATGAGATTGATTTTGTTGTGAAGTATTATTCAAAGTCAGTCACCAAGGAGTTCTGTTTTATATAGGTTTTGGGCTTGCTAACACTAATCAGCAAGACAAATTCGTAAGCCTGTGGATATGGATATTCCCTAGATGATTCTAATATATATCAGTGAGCGCTGAGATCAAAGACTTAATGACTAAGATATTTTCGCTCCAACGAACGGTAGATAAGACTGAATTCTGCGCACAAACTGATCAGTAGAAAGTAACTCAGGAAGTTATCTTGTCCTCAGCCCTCAGTAGTGACCAAATTTAGTTGATCAAATTTGTAATGTGACCAACAGTTTAACTGCAACGAAACTTTGGTGAACTGTATTTTAATGTTAGACGAAAATAATTTGCCCCATTATCTGACCTACAGAATTATGTCATAGGCTTCACTGTAATACTTATAGGTATTTGTCAAGTTATAAGTACACGATGATTTTGCCAGCAGATGAAAATAAAGATATTGATATAGTCCTAATAAAAACAATAAATAGTAATTCATTGATTCAGTCTGAAGGTTTTTACAGATTTATTTATTGATTTCAAGTTGGTATCCATCGTAGACTGAAATCAACTGAATTAACCTGCTTCGAGATGAGACTCCTGAAGTTCTAATCAGAAGTCATGACCTGTGGGGTAAACCAACTCGGACGTGAAGACAAATACTTAGCGACAGCATTAAGTTCAACTCCTGGCAGGATGCTGTCATGAGTCCACACTGCTGAGGAGTGACATATTATGGCCAGTGCTTCCAGGTTCTCAGCGCTTCTCCGACTGATGTCAGTTCGTTATGAATGACATCTTGAATCCTATGATTGCAGGTTAATTCCTGATTATTATGAACCATTTAAGAACGTTGTGATTAACTCAAAAAGTCACTTTACAGAAGAAATTATTGTTAAAATAAAAGTTTATTAGGGTTGTTTTTTGAAATTAGTGAACAGCTTTTTATTGCTTATTATTATTCCAAAACATACGTGACATCTATTGAGTATATGTGTGCTGATATAATTTATTTACAAGCAATAATTTCCATTGTAATTGGTTCATCAGGTTTATCATACAGTATAACAGTATTGTTTATTGGATTACGTTTCGGACATAATTCATTGTCCATGGTCATATCAATGAATGAAGCTGTTTCTAAGTGAGTCTAAATGCTTTCATTTAATCCCGAAAATTAATAATCCCAGTGGGATTTATGTCACTACTAAATTCATAGACCGGATTATTCTATTAGACTTTAGAAATACTATTACTTATGACTTATTTAAATATTTAGCGATTAGAAACCGATTCCAAACATATGGTTTTGAAAAGTGGATGATATCCTTACAGTGTTGAAATCGGACAACATACATAACTTCACACATTTAAATTCAGTAGTCGATGCTAACCAATTCACCTATGAATTAGAAAGTAGTGAAGGAGAATGAGTGATGTTGGATTGCAGAATAAAACGAAAACAAGATGGAAGTTTACACACCAGTGTCTACAGAAAACATTCACATTCAAACAGTTTATTAGACTTCAAATCGTCTCACCATATATAAGTTGAAGTTGGCTTAGTGAAATGTCTGAGTAACAGTGTCAGAAAAATTACTAGTAAAACAGAGGACCTGAGACAAGAAACCAGATGCATTGAAGACGCCTCAATCATCAACAGGTACCCTCCCAAATTAACTGATAAGCTCCTTAGGAATGGTAAGAAAAATGAAGGGGATATTAGTAACACAGATGTTAACAGTAGTAATGCTGACGGCAATGATGGTAGTGAGAATATTGTGAGGAGAGAATTCAACACATCTACAGTATTATCATGCCAAGAAAACACCTCACAAACACTGCGTAGGATTCTCAATGAGGCTAGTTGAGATTAGAGTCACATTTCAACCTAGAAACTCACTTCGAAATAAGTTTTGTAGATTAAGAGATCCTGTTGACCCAATTAAGCAGAATAACTTAGTTTACCAAATACCTTGCAATGATTGTGAGATCGAACACACAGGTCAAAGTGGTCGACCAGAGTCAATTAAATTACCATGCAAGGTGATGAATTTAGAAGAAAGCGCAGCTATAGCTATGCATGCGTTTACACACAACCACACAATTGGATGGGATAGGGTGAGAACCACTGAGACTAACATGACCGGGTAGTGGGAGAGATTGATAACTGAATCTTTGTTTATTGAATCAACACCCAGTACATGCATCAGGAGTGAGTCAACACCTGTTCAGTATGCATGGAAAATCCTTCCACCCATATCATAAGGGAGGCAAGTGAATGTGAATTATGTTAAGGAAGTCTCAAAGTTGTATAGTTATCTTGACGTGACTATGGACGATGAATTGTGTTCGACAAGTAATCATTTTTACAGTTGGAGGTGTTAACTTAGCTTGTAGTCATAATGACTGTGGACATGTAGTTAAAGTCTTTATCAAGTGAAGTGTTGAACTACTCAGAGAAAGTCTCTCCTCCTTCCAGTTTTAAAGATAAATTATTCCATGATTTTGAAATGAACTAGCAATTGTCATCTAGTGTGCACCAATCACAAAGTGATCTGTGAGGACATCATGTGTTTTGGTTTTCGAAATGGGTTTATTGAAGGGAAAGGTGTGTAGAGGAGTGGTGAACTAAGCCTTATCAACTTAACTGTACGACACTGTACCCCTTTCCAAGAATCCTTGGTTTTCGAGTGTTGATGAAGCATTCAGGTGGAAGTCATTGAATTGGTTGGTAGTTTAGGCAAGCGAAACAGTAATCGTTTAAGTTTATGAATAAGAGCCATTATTTAATAACTGTTGTGTACTGCAATAAGCAGAAGTTGAGTGGAGAGTAGTTCTACTGGATATGCTTAATATGGTAGAATTTGAATGTAATGATTAGATCACTATTCTCCAGAGAATGATCATCATTAACAATTGTGAGTTTACAGGAGTAATTTAAGTATCAAGCATGAAACAGTAGTAATATGCAAACTACTGTTAAATTCATAGCAACATGATGTATATCATGATAATTTAACCGGAATCGAACACGCGCAAGATATCTCAATGTTGTGTAGTTATCTTGATATGACTATGAACAGTAAATTATGTCGGAAACGTATTCCATTAAACAATACTGTAACGCTGTTTGATAATACAAGCAATGGGGAATTAAATCATGAAATTTGTCTAGAAGAGAGTTTATCGTAAACTGCCTTCACTTGGTCGGACGGGATATGTGACAATCACCTGACATATTTAGCTTCTGGAGGTACTGATATTTATTTTGCTTATCCCAACTAGTTAATTCATTCAAATTTCTATAAACTAATAAAAAATGTCTCTCGTGTCAAGGAAATACAGTTTCCCAAGTTAGTTTTATCTTGGATTTTATTCTGTAAAAGCTGAAGTTATCCTCTAAAGAGGAATTTTAAACCTATTCAAGGATTAATGATTTCCAACATTTTTCAACTGATTTCAGTCACTATCATCCTTAAGCCTATGTGTAATTAGACAATTTGAAGTTACTGCGACAAATGAAATATCAAACAAAAGAAGTAACTTTTTAGGAAGTCACAGAATTTTGACTCACCTTGAAAAAATGTCAATCAATCTTTTAATCAATGCAGTGATAAGAGATTGTCGTTCACTTGCTCCTGGCTTTAGAACATGTCCTCTGTAGCCATATTCTTCGCCAAGCTGAGAAATGTAAAAGAAGTCATATATAAATGTTGTTCCGGGATCAACATTTTTCGCGTTATTAACACAATATAACGAAAGTCTTAATTAAATTATATACTCTCAGGAATTTCGAATGCCTCACCTTCATTTTTCCCTCAATACTAATAATTTTAACTCCTTCATCATTTCTGGCATTTGCGAAATGCATTAAACATCTATTGTATTACTGTTTTCCGACTGGGAACATCACGCGCCAAACCTTCGAGTGGAATCCAAAGGGGAAACGACGAGTTGGGCGTTGGAGGGTGACATAGAGGAGATCATGCGAGAAAGAAATGAAAGCTTGTGGGCAGTCGTCAGGCGAGGCTGAAAAGACTGCAGAGAACAGAGTAGAATGGAGGCGTGCTACTGAAGCACTATATTCCAATAGGAACTCAAGGGAAAAATAATATAATAATAATGACTGTTTTCGTGTCGTAAAATACCGTAGTAGCTGGTACACAAATACTATGCAGACGCTGTATTTCAAAGTCAAAGGTATATGGTTTAGAAAGTCTAGTGATACTTTATCTCCTTAATCTATCGATAAAGTGCTCCATAAAGTTATCATCATATCAACATTATCACTAAGCTGAATGACTACGTTGCTGGAAGGATCCAATCCAAAGTTTACACAATTTCTTCAATCTCAAGTTTTTATTTATCTCTGTTGAAGGTTGTGAGTAGAAATTGTCATCTACAGGAGGAAGTATGTACATTTACTAACTCAATACCATTCATTCAGTATCTATATATATTTACAAGCCAATATTTTCATATATTGGATGGTTCGATTTTTAAGACTGAATTTACATCTTTAGATTTGTTGTAGAATTGAAGAAATACTGAACAGCGGTTTCTTATGGAATAAGTCTGATATTTTAGTACTTCTATGCATAAGCATGACCACGACCGGAAAAGGCTGAATTCAGAAAGCATAAATCATGTCCAGACCAAATTGCAAAGCTACTCTACGCATCATCATAGAACACAGCATAGAATGACAGTCAGCTCTCTCTACCTCAACTTCATCCACTTTGAAAAGACCTTTGACAGCGTCGACCCACAAGTAATTTGCCAGGCAGTTGCTTCAACACTGCGGAGTACCACAAACATTTATCAATCTCATTCAACAACTGCATGAAGACGCCACATGCCAGCAAAGTAATTCACAACACTAAGCTCAGTGATGTCTTTGAAATGAAGACAGGAAGAAGTAAGACAAGGCTGTCCACTACCACCCATCACCTTCCTGATTGTGGTCAACTGGATCATGCAACAAACGGTGAGGAGCGAGAAGAGGGTGATACGCTAGCTGGACCAGGGAAAGGCACCTAGAAGATCTGGATTTCGCCAACGACTTTTGTCTCGTGTCTTTTCGCACAAACTCGAAGATCTAAAGGAGAAAACTAAGAAGTTGACAGAAGAGATAAGGCGGGACAGCGAAGGAAGACAGGACTTCAAGTGAATATAGAGAAGACAGAGACAGACGTGATGAAGATACCCAACCAACACCACCACCACCAACAACAACAACAACAACGAGCTTCAATCACCATGAATGGGAGAAACGTAAAGGAAGTTGTCTCTCTCACCAACACCTGTTTAGGTAGGACAGCATCGTTTAAATTACAGGTGGTGGTACAGACGACGGTGTCAAAGCCAGCCAGGATCGGAAAGACAGCAAGACAGGATTTCACTAATCTGGGACCACTGTCGAGGTCTACTGCACTCAATATAAAGCGTGAACAACATCCAGATTTTCAACACCAATTCAGTCAATTCAGTGCTTCTATATAGGTCAGAGACTTGGTACATTATGAAAGGGATTTACAAGAAACTACAGATATACATCAACAACTACCTACGCTCATTCGACACTGAATATCAGATGACTAGAATAATAAGAATAAGTAACAAAGAACTCTGGCTGGCTGGCTGGCTGGCTGGCTGGCAACGAACCAATGGGGCAAGAACCTATCACTCAACAAATATGCACTGGAAGGAAGTGTAAATGGATTGGGCATACACTGAGCAGACCGAGTGGGGACATCACGCGCCAGGTCAAGCACTTGAGTGGAATCAAGATGGGAAACGACGAGTTGGGCATCCGAGGTGAGGGTGACATGGAGGAGATGGTGTGAGGAAGAAATGAGAGGTTGTGGGCAGTCGTGGAGTCAGGTTGAAAAGATTGCAGAGGAGAGAGTGGAATGGAGACATGCTACTGAATCCCTATGTTCCATTAGGAACCCACGGGATACATAGTAATATTAAAATAATAGTACTGTATCACTTTGTGTTTATATATCATATCAACAAATCTAATAGGGAATTACATTTTACCACATTACCCAAGTTTTGCACTTATATTGGTGAAACTTACGGTCTTCCTGTTTGAAGGCTAGTCAATAGATGTACACGGCTTTCACAGACTGAAACACGTTCCGCAAATCATCGTATTCTGAATCTTAGTTGTATGAAAAATCAAATTATCCCTAAATATCTTCGTCTACTTATTCCAATGTCTACTGACAAAATCAAACGATTAATAGGATAGGTCAGCAGCATTTGTTTTAAAGAAGGAATTCACAGGATTACCAGGACGTTAAGTGCCATTCAGATTAAAATTGAACAATTGATACGTAAACTTATGAAGATAATAAACGGCAGAGACTATGAATTTCTAATAGAAGCATCAGACGAAGAAAGAGTAGCTCGTTTCAAGAAATCTAGGAACAGTAAAATCAAAAACTTTCCACAAACTAATGCAGAAAAAATATTCTTCAGAAATGAATGAGATTACAAATGAAACACCAAACATCGGTAGAACAAAGTGAGTAGTCAATCCCTTCTCGAGAACCTTAAGCTCAGCTGAGACAAAAGTACTCAAGAAAGGACTACACTTCATTGTGACAATAGGTCATCTAAAACCTGAAGATATCATACTTAGCATAAAAGTAGCGTTAAGCTCGTTAGATCCAGTAACTGTTGAACAGGTCGGAGCACAGTAAAAAGATCAGAAAAGAGGCAATGAAACCTAATCAAACTTGAAAGCTCAATTCTGTATAATCTGTGAAACGACAATAACATAGTAACTGTTAACTCCGATAACAGTAGTTCAACAGTAGATATAAAAAAATCGAAATATCTTGACAACATAACTAAAGATATCCAAACATGACCATATGAAGAGATACAGAAACCTGTAGATAATGTCATGAGTAAAACTGAGTAATCTACAACAGATCTGATACGTCAACTGAAGCCATCTCTAGGTGAGTTTAAATGGCTTAATTAAATGCTTAAAACCAATAATCCTAGCAGAATTTGTGGTATTATTAAGGTTCATAAACCAAGTTATCCCATTAGACTGATAGTTAACTTCCGAGATACTCCTATATATGAAATATTAAAGTACTTTGCATCAATATTATATTCTATAAGAGATAGTTCAAAGACATTTTGATATGATTATGAGCAATAATTTATACTCAAAACATCATCAAGCCAATAATACTATATCACTGTGTGCTATATATCAAATTAACAAATCAAATATGGAATAACATTCTATTACAGCCCTCAAGTTTTACACAATATTAGTAGAATAATCAAAATATAATTGTCTAAATCATAAATGTGTTTCTTTAATGTAACTGTATTTTGATAATAAATGAACATTTTTATAAATTTTGAAAATTACTTACTTCAATCACATTACTTCCAGCTTGAACATGCCAATTACTGGGCTCCATTAAACTAAATGAATTAATCGTTCACAACAATAGGTTAGAAAACTGATAAAATGTAATTGAAAAAATGAGATTTCTGTATTAACCTATAAAGATGACACTTTTTAAAATATCAAATTTTTCATTGATCATTATATTATCAAATCGAATAAGTCCTAAACAAAGGATTATAATGCTCAGTGATGCCTTTGAAGTGAAAACAGGAGTAAGACAAGGTTGCCATCTACTATCACCCATTATATTCCTGATTGTGGTGGACTGGGTCATGCAGTAAACCGTGAGGAGCTGTGGAAAGACGGATATTTGGGGGACCGATGAAAAGACCCCATAAGAAGATTTGAATTTCGTCAACGATGATGATTTACGTCTAATGTCTTTTCGCACAAACTCGAAGATCTACAGGAGAAAACTAACAAGCTGACAGAAGAGATGAGGCAGGGCAGCGAAGGAAGACGGGACTTCAATTGAATGTAGAGAAGACGGAGATGATGAAGATACCTAACAAACAACAGCATGAAAAACAAAAGGCACCAATCACCATGAATGGGGGAAACTTAAAGGAAGTAATCTCACCTATCAAGGCAGCACTGTTTCAACTACAGGCGACACAGACGACGGTGTCAAAGCTAGCCAGGATCGGAAAGACAGCAAGACAGGCGTTCATTAACCTGAAATCAGTGTGGAGATCTTCTGCACTCAGCATAAAACGTGAACAACATCCGAATTTTCAACACCAATGTCAAGTCAGTGCTTCTATATGGGTCAGAGAATTGGCACTTCACAAAAAGCACTTCCAACAAACTACAGATATTCATCAAAAACTGCCTATTCTCACTCGTTACTGAAGATAAGATGGCCAGAATAATAAGAATAAGTAGCAAAGAACGCTGGTTGGCTGCCAACGAACCAACCAAGAACCTATCACTCAACAAATACGCAGAAGAAGGTAGTGGAGATGGATTGGATTTGGCATACACCGAGAAGACCATTTGGGGACATCATGAGACAGGCAGTCAAGTGGAACACTGATGGGAAACGACGAGTTGGGCATCCGAGGTGAGAGTGACATGGAGGAGATAGTGTGAGGAAGAAATCAGAGGTTGTAGGCAGTCGTGGAGGCAGGTTCAAGAGTTTGCAGAGAACAGAGTGGAGTGGAGACGTGCTACTGAATCCCTATGTTCCAATAGGAACCCAACGGAAAAGTAATAATTATAATAAAGGATTATAATGATACCGTACTATATACGGTTTACCTTTTCATACACTATGAAATCTGTTTATATGTTCACACAAAACGTATACTTATCATGCAGAATGCTTAAAATAATAAAGTGAACGTTTATGAGATAATAGATATTTATAACTCAAGATAAAGATGATAATTATTTGGGTTTTTTCAAGCTTCAATTTTTGTTTTTTGGACGTATCATTACCACACTATACATCAGTTTACTAGTCTTAAACTTAATACTTCATAAAGTATGATTTTTCAATAGAACGTCATTTATATATACATTATATCAGTATATATATGTATATATTTTCCTTTAACTAAAGAAGGGTCTTTTGATATATACTCCATCTCAAATGAAAATATCAGCTAGTGAAGTGTACCCATACAAGTAGTTAACATTTAAGCCACTTGCCAAAAACTTAAATTATTTTCATCCTAGACACAAATCTATAAAAGGTTTCAACCCATTTCTACTATGTTACAAATAGTCTATCTTTTGTGACTAATTTACTTAACAATATTCCTAAAAAAACATTGTATCATTTATTATCTATTTCCTTAAAATACTATAATATAGGTTTATTAAAAAAAATATAATTTGAAATAAATTTGTTGTATAGTTTACTCTTACTGAGATTTTGACCATGATCCAGCCCAAAAACAATGAGCAGCAGTTAGTAACCAACGATCACCAATTAATGTGGATCCACAATAAGTAACCTGTTTGAAAATAGGATTTGTTCCTTTGATAGATACAGCCCAAGGATAGGCATATTTCTCGGCTTTTTTACCATTAATTATACGTTTTTCTACTTTCAGTGGATATGCTAAATTATGAACTAGAATTTTGAAAAAATTTAGTTATATATATATATATATATATACATATATATATATATGTACATGTATGTATATAAAGCTCAAAGTCACAGAAAAGAAGTGTTTAAAAGATGCTTATTAAAAGTTACCTATATCATAGACATCAGTGAGACACTTATCGACTAGTAACTTTTAAGAACAACTCAAAGAATGAATATTTGAAACTTTCTCTTAAAATATGCAAGAAATAGTCCGGTTAACTTTTCAGAAATCGTGATACAATGTGTTGTTGTCGTATTGAGTGAAAACTGTGTACGAATTCATTTTGAAATAGACTCATCTCCTTCTTCATCAATTTATCATGATATTAACACTGAAATACACTGAAACTAGTAATCTTTATACATCTAGATAAGTTGATTACTAAGTAGGAAAAATAGTTGCTACTGTCAAAGTAATCAACTATCTGTTCAAAACTAAATCATATTTTCTTTTCGAGAATCGATTGTTGTGATCGGGTAAAATGTAATAAGGAAAAACCAGGACTTCACTGTACTGAGTACAAAGAACAACATAACGATTTTCAATACTAATGCCAGTCAAGTCAGTGCGTCCATGTGGTAGTTGAGAGACTTGGCGCGTTACGAAAAGCATTTCCAACAAACTATAGATATTCATCAACAGCCGCCGTCTACGCCCACTCAATACTGACATTGAAGATGAAGATCAGATGGCCAGAATAATAAGAATAAGCAACAAAGAAACCTGGTTGACTGCTAACGAAGCAACCAATAATCTATCGTCTAACAACTATGCAGGAGAAGAAAAAGGAGATGGACTGGATTGGACATACACTAGACCCTCAAGTGGGATCCAAATGGGAAATGTAGAGTTAGGCGTCGGAGAGTGATATGGAGGATATTGTATGAGGAAGAAATGAAAGCTTGTGAGAATTAGTGGAGCCAGGTCAAAGACACTGCAGAGAAGAGAGTGAAATAGCGACGTGATACTGAGGCCCTCTAACTTTAATGAAGAAACTCTTTTAAATTGTTTTAAAACTATAAAATTAGTTACTGTAAAATAATAAATTTGCTTCACAGGATATGAATAGTATTATTGATGTAAAAGATTAACTATAAAGAACCATTTTTTTATCCTTGAATGAATCCATATTTGTAAAACATAATAAGGAAATTGAAATGAACTTACCCAAAGTTATTTTACAAAGGAACAGAATGTAAAGAATAGTAATCTTCATTCTAATAGTATTCAATCGAATGTGTTCCTCTAGTATAATGGAATCTCATTTCTTTGTCAGCTTTTAATAAGTAAACTTAATCTGTGGAAAAAAAACACTTCAGTGTAAATCATTTTATAAGGGAAAAAAATAATACACTGTTCTTGTTATTTGTTGTTACAAAAGTGTGTTAATCTTATTCAATTTAAACAAAACATTCATTTTTTAGTGAAAAGAAACTCGTGTTCCAGATGAATTTACTAGTGAACCATCTATTTATATGTACAGACAGTCTTTTTCTAATGATGAACAAATAAACAATCTGAGAAAAGCTGAAGTATATTTCCTAGTCAATCCTTAATATTCTTGGCCTCATTAGGTAAAAGGTTGACTTAGTAAAACACCTACGTGCCTATGTACAAATGCATATATATATATATATATATATATATATATATATATATATATACATCGTTTGCATTTTCAAACAACAAGCGTATATTTACAGATGGTACAGGTAGTAAACAAACAAGATCAAATCTATATCTCATCTAGTTACAAATGTAACAATTTCAAATGGAGTAGATCTTTCTCCTCTAAATTTATGTTCAAAATTAAGTCTTTATTTACTAGTTTTTTTCAATTGATCAGCATGTACTTATCAAAAATTAACCAAAACTTTGACAAACTATCACATTTAGATACAATTATGAAAGAATAATTTCATAACGATTGAAAAAATTTTCTCTCAGATATTTAGATACACTACGGAGTACCACAAACATTTATCAATCTCATTCAACAGACAAGGCTGTCCACTATCATCCATCATCTTCCTGATTGTAGTGAACTGGATCATGCAACAAACGGTGAGGAGCGAGAAGAGGGGGATACACTAGCTGGACAGGGGAAAAGAAACTAGAATATTTAGATTTAGCCGATGACTTATGTTTAGTGTTTAGTACCGCATAAACCTGAAGATCTACAGGTGAAAATTTACAAGTTGACAGAAGAGATAAGGCAGGGCAGCGAAGGAAGACAGGACTTCAAGTGACTGTAGAGAAGACAGAGGTGATGAAGATACCCAACCAACACCGCCAACAACAACAACAACAACGAGCTCCAATCACCATGAATGGGAGAAACCTAAATGAAGTTGTCTCTTTCTCCTATCTAGGCAACACTGTTTCAACTACAGGTACAGACGTGAATGTCAAAGCAGCTAGGACTGGAAAAGCAATACAGGCGTTTATTAATCTGAAATCAGTGTGGAGATCTACTTGACTCAGCATAAAGAACAAGATTTTCGATACCAATATCAAATCAGTGATTCTATGTGATGGTTCAGAAACTCGGTGCATTACGGAAGGGATTTACAACAAACTACAGACATTCATCAACAACCACCTACGCTCACTCGATACCGACACTGAAGCTCAGATGGCCAGAATAATAAGAATAAGCAACAAAGAACTCTGGCTGGCTGGCTTGCTGGCTGGCAACGAACCAATGGGGAAAGAACCTATCACTCAACAAATATGCAGAAGAAGGAAGTGGAGATGGATTGGGCATACACTGAGAAGACCGAGTGGGGACATCATGCGCCAGGTCAAGCACTCGAGTGGAATCAAGATGGGAAACACCGAGTTGGGCATCCGAGGTGAGAGTGACATGGAGGAGATGGTGTGAGGAAGAAATGAGAGGTTGTGGGTAGTCATGGAGCCAGGTTGACAAGATTGCAGAGAATAGAGTGGAATGGAGACGTGTTACTGAATCCCTATGTTCCATTAGGAACCCAAGGGACAAATAAATAATATAATAAAAATAATAATAGAGATTTAGATATTTGAGGTTACACAAGACAAATGGAGTACTTTCATAGTTGATTTTACAAGGGTGAATTATCTGGTTAATTAAGATTAACTGCTTTCGCTTAAGTAATGTTTATATTTTAAGTGTTTGTTTGCTAATAGCCTGTAGAATATATTAACACCAGCAGTAATTGACATGTCCTGTCGCATAATCCAATGAAGTTATTCTTTCTTGAACAACAACTAATGATCAGTATCACCACTTGTGTAACAATTACAGTCTGAGTGTTTACAACAACTAAATTAGAGATCACATTGACAGCGTTCAGCAATCCTAGTTTGTAGGTGATGGTTTCAAATATTTCTGCGGACATCAGTGTATTGAAATGACGGGTTCTAGATGAGACAAAATGTCAGTATACATTTCATAACAATAATAATATATTTACGTTATTCCACACTACACAGTAAAAAATTCTCAGCTTGTGTTATCACATCAATTTATCCATTATACAACATTTTTTAAACACAATGGTTCTGTTTAACAATATATAATAAAGAATAACGAATAACAGAATTATTTAAAGGTTTAATCACTTCAGGGATATGATAACTGTTCGCTATTACAAAGTTGATTGATAGCATGATTTTCTTTACATAATACACATGCCAAATAAGGTGGTATGATTGAATTTTGTATGCAGTTATGTGTGCATAGAGTTTAATATATTTGCTTCTTGTCTTCCTAGACGACAGAAATGAAAAGAAGATGCTTGTCACCAGATAAGATGTTTTTAGCCAGTAGTGCACAAGAGTTCAGATGCCTATCCACAACTGCACTTATCAGCACGGCTAGATGGTGTACTACTCACTCTACTAACACCCTTCAAAATCCTGCGCAATACAGTGTAGTGTTTTTCCTGGATTCCAAGAAAGAATAAGGGGGGACAATAAGTAAAACACAAGAATTAATGAAGCATAAGAGTAGAATCTGAGCTATGCCAAACAGATTGTTTCCCAATATAAAGAGTCAGGCGAAGGATTTTCCCATAAATCAGTAAGATATGAGGAGACCAAGAAAGATCAGAAGAAAAGCACAAGCCAACATCAGCCATGCCTGCTACAAGATAAGAGTCATGGAAATGAGGCAGTGTGTAAAGGTCCTTTTCATGTCTTATGCAAGAACTAATCATCGGAAATTTGGAGGGATTGAGTGTGAGGTCATTTAAAGAAAACCAGTAACCAATTTCATATCATAAGCTATTAAACTGAGATTAATCAGAAGAGAAGATGAAAGACATGGATGCTGTCACGTCATCAGTTTACTTAACAAAGTTAGCTTCAGTTGAGGTTGGTAAGTCATGAAAAAGAAAGAGAAAAGGAAAGGAGAAAGAACAGCACGCTGATGCACACCGGCTCCACTAAACAGCTAAGCAGAGCGTTTCTCTGTGTATACAGTATGCTGTCCCCGCTCAAAAAAAATGAATCAGGCCGGTTTACATTCCAGGACCTAATATGAGTACTGGTGAGCTTGTTTAATAAGAGGGATCCAGAGACAGAGTCAAAGGTGAAAGTATGATCTAAGAAGGTAGATTTAACAAACTTATCACCTTTATCCAAACTGTAAAACAACTGAAGCATCTGAGATACTCCTTCTGGGTTTGTAGGCAAACTGATTCGGATCTCTGAAAGCCTGAAAAGGAGGTTCAAGTGCAAGAACCAACAGTTCTTTTATTATTTTTAAGAATGGTAAGGTAATCACGATCGGTCGGAATTTCACCTTAGCTTCAGCAGGTATAGACTTAAGTAGCGGAAGTATTTTAATTCCTTTCCAGGCCGTTGGTACGTCGCTTCTAGCAAGAGACTCATTAAAAATGTTTGTGAGTGGATGGCACAGAATATCAGCACATTTGGTTAAAAGAATACCTGGTGCACCATCTGGTTCGGTGCACAGCGAAGGCTTTAATGATTTCAGACATTTGAATACATCTATTTCATTGAAATTAAGAAAACTGCATTCTGTTGCAGGTGAAGAACTAGATATGATAACATTCGTGGGTTCAAGTATGAATGACTCGTTTAATGTGAACACATTGAAGTTTTCATTTCTGAGTTTTATCTTTCCAGTAAGATCATTAAAATGTCTCCATATACTAGAAGGGTTTTTACATAACATAATCTTCTGGTTATACAGTAAGTTTAAGCGTTTTATTTCAGACTTATTCAAGCAATTAAGTAGTTTTTACACCAGCATTTTCCTTCGATTTGTACAGTTTTTCTTTTTCTCTTGGAAGTGTTTTAAATGCAAGGAAGAAAGTCTATATTGAACCTTGGAAAAATGATTCCAGCTGGGCAGTAAATAAGAAAGTAAAATTTAAGATAGCATGTAACAGCCTCCATTGTATCATCTAGGGCATCATTTTCAAATATTTCCCAACCTGTGTTCTGTAACATGACTCTGGGTTTATGGATATTGTCATATGTAACACTCCTATGTATAGTCTTCTTAGATTCATATTTGTGTCTTTTGCTTTATTTTTGACAGAAGATGTATAATACAGTGATCTGAGGTTTGCAGTAGTGCGCACGTTTGAGTTTCATGTGTTCCAGGTTCATTTACGAAGATCAAGTCTCATGTGGCATTAAATAGAGTTGGAAATTTGACTAGGTTACTTTGGCCAAGAGAATACAGGAAGCCGCAGTCACAAGAATTAAAAATCACTGCAGACAACAGACAATGAACTAAATATTATCGAAGCCGCCAATTCCGTGAATTTGTCAACGAATCTGGATAATTCAGAACCACTGTAATCAGGACTGACATAAACACAAGTAGTGTAAATGAATTCATATTTATCTAAGTATTTCGGACGACACTTAACAGTTATACAGTGTATCTAGTTATTCTGAGATGATATGGCTTAGAACCGATGTCAGTGGCGCAGATGTATACATACATTATCCTCACCTTAACGACGCCATACCGAATCTTACCATTTTCTCTTTCTTCCCCTCTCTCTTTTTGTACTTTGTATTTCTTTTGACTGAGTTTTCTCATCTTCATCTTGCACTTCACTGCCTTTTTACTTGATGTGTTGATGTAATCTGTAGCACCTCGGACCGTTAAGCAGTAATGCCTGGTCCTATGTTGATACTGATGATGATGATGATGATGATCTAGTTATTAGAATACGCGAAACATACATAATTTGACTCCCACCACTGAGTATTACTGAAGGTAGCTACACCTCCAATAAACTTTTTAGCTTAAATACACCGATCCTGGAGAAA